TGTACAAATGTCTAAATAGTGGCACACTTGAATAAAAATTGTCCACTTATAAGTGGTACCCCATATGGAAAAAGGATGACACCAAGTCCCAAACTTTCTTGCCACTACTCTCCAAGTAGTCTGGGCATCTGGGGGGCTCCACGTGACTATTTTTTCCCTCATAAATCCGAAACTTATAAGTATAGCCTGTTGTCCTCTCACATGTCTTCTACAGCTTGACCCTATATCTGGCACTCTTGTTTATGAGAAATTGAATGCAAGGTGGCCAGAAAAATTAATGAGGGACTCATCAACACAGATTTTTTGCTGGGGAGTATAGACATCTGCAAATGTTTGGTTAAGGTGATTTGTGAGGGGCTGAATTTTGTGGAGCCGGTCAAATTCAGGGTCACCCCGAGGACGACAGGGTATATTGTCGTTGAAATGCATAAAACACATTATACTCTCATATCTATGCCTGGCCATGGCAGCAGAGAACACGGGCATATGATGAATCGGGTCTGTGGACCAATACAACCGCAATTCATGTTTTTTAGTAATGCCCATGTTGATGGTTAGGTCCAAAAAAATTTTAATTCAGAAACCGTAATGAGTTTCCATGCAAATGGTCTGGCAAGGTTTGAGTATGGGTTGGCGGTGTGATACATTTTTGTACATATAAATTGCATTTGATTCACAATCAATGCATACAGATCTTCTGTGAAAAACCAAAAAATCAAGGGGAGTAGTTAAATTTGCTATTTCAACCTGAATTCTGGGTTGGGCAGTGAATGGGGGAAGTAAGGGAGATGCAGAATTTGTGGGCTGTCAGTCGGGATTTTCAAGCACATCCGGAAGGATACTTGGGGCTCTACAGGCCTGTGTGAGAATTCTTGGTGGCTGCAGAACAATACTTGTGCTCGCCACCGCACCAGCTTGTACTACACTTATGGGACTCGCCACGTCACCAAGTTATACTGCAGTGCTGGTATTATTATCATTGTTATACATTATTTATATAGTGCCAACAGTTTGCTCAGCGCTTTACAATATAATGGGAGACAATACAGCAACAATACAGTTCAATACAAGAGGGTTAGGAGGGCCCTGCCCCTTGGAGCTTACAATCTAAGAGGTATGTGAAAGACCAGGATGTACTAGGCCACTAGAACTCGTCAGTTCACCAAAAGGTAGCGTGGCACTAGTACTGGCACTCTGCTGCATATGAGAGTCATCAAAAGTTACCGGCAAGTGTGTCACGTACCTGGATAGTAAGCCTGACATGAAGAGGCAGGCCTCCTGTACAACTCCGGCTCAAGGACCGGAAACAGCAGGGGCAGGTCGCAGGGGCACGGTGGGGTATGAGTGCCTGTGATCAGTTCAGTAATAGCGGATGAGCTGATAAGTTGTATGCAGGGAGCAGGGTTCTGATGCAGCCGTGCTGGATGGTTATATACTTGAGAGCAGCGTGCTGAGGATGCAGGATCAGATGAGCCGGGTTCTGTATTGGTCAGGCAGATCAGGCTTACAGCAGCAGAAGGAAGAGTAGTTAGGTCAAAGGCCAGTACAGCAACGGAAGATCAATCATACAAGAGAGGAGACAGAAGAATAATCCTAGACAAGCCAGAGGTCAGGGCAGGTAGCAATCAAGCGGAGTTCAGGAACAGGCTGGTTCGGTATCAGGAAACAATCACAGGAATCAGGGAACACGAGCAGGGAAAAGACCATACGGCAATGGGACAACTACTGCAGCCAGTTTAAATAGCCCTTTTGGGGCCAGCATTAGTGACAAGTGCGTGCTCGAGTGCGCATGAGCGCCTATGTCCAAGTGCCTGCACATCTGTTCGGCTTGTAAAGGAGCATATTTGTGCACCATGGAACTTCACCTGCACTATGGGCAGGCCTTTCCTGACATGGCCCCCTCCCTATGGGCAGCCTCCGGTTGCCCAATTGGCTCCTTTTGTGTGGGTGACTGAGAAAAAACTCACAAACTAAGTTCGTAGCATGTACGCTCTGTGCAGGTTCCCATGAATTTTCCTCTGGCCCATACCCCTTCCATTTGATTAGGTATTGCGTTTGGCCCCTCCTTTTCCTACAGTCCACAACAGCCTCAACCTCAAATTCCTCCTCTCCATTACTAATTATAGGCTCAGGGGGCCTTGACCTTCGATCAGAAAAGAGATCTGGTACTGCAGGTTTTAGTAATGACATGTGAAAACCTGGATGAACTTTAAGGGATTCTGGCAATGCTAAATCATAAGAAACATCGTTACTTTTGCATCTTACCGGAAATGGTCCCACAAACTTAGGTGCCAGCTTCCTTGAAGGACATGGCATTTTCAGGTTGGTTGTGGCAAGCCAGACCTGGTCTCCAGGGTGCATGATCAGTTCTCCCCTTCTCCTTTTATCGAAAATCTTTTTGTTGTCCTCCTGGGTTTTTGTGACAGTCTCCTGTAACAATTTCTTGTTAGTAAAAAAGAAACATAGTGTATCTTGAGCAGTAGGGACAAAACTTTCTGGCACAAGGTCAGATAGAAAGGTAAGGTGAAACCCATAATAAGCAAAAAATGGGGATTGTTTGGTGGCAGAATGGTTGGAGTTATTGTATGCAAACTCTGCCAGTGGCAGGAACAACACCCAATCATCTTGGACAAAAGAAGTATAACACTGGATGTACTGCTCCAGGGTCTGATTAGTCCTTTCAGTCTGTCTGTTGATTTGTGAGTGATAGACCGAAGAAAAAGACAGTTTGATTTTCAAGGTTTCACATAGTGCCCTCCAGAATCTTGATGTGAAACTGCACCCCTCAGTCTGAAAGAATGTTTACAGGAATTTCATGGAGCCTGACAATTTCTTTAATAAAGACCCGAGTGGTTTCGAAAGCAGAGGGTGTATTTTTCAGGGGCAAAAAATGGGCCATCTTTGATAGTCGGTCTACTAACACGAAGATGGCAGTACATCCTTCTGAAGGTGGGAGCTCCACTACAAAATCTATTGATATCATCTTCCATGGTCTATCAGGTACAGGCAGAGGTCTGAGCAATCCCCAGGCTTTATTTCAGGTACTCTTATTTCGGGTACAGATGGTGCATGCCTTTACAAAAGCTTTACAGTCTTTTCCCATATCTGGCCACCAGAATGTGCATTGTGCTAGCTCTACTGTCTTGGTGACCCCGAAGTGACCCGCTAAAGTGTGGTCATGGCAATACCGAAGGACAAAGGTGCGCATTTCTTTGGGTACCAAAATTTGTTCACCTCTCCATAGAAGTCCATCCTTGCTTTGTACTGTAACTCTGGGTGGGCTGGATGTTCCTGCTGATACCTGCTGTAGTTGGGATAATAGGCTGGTCTGTAGTAGCAGAAAGTTCCCTGCTGGCAAGATGGTGTCTGGTATTGGGGTTTCCTTTGGATCCTTGAACATGCGTGATAGTGCATCGGGTTTGGTGTGCTTGGACCCAGGCCTATAAGTAATGTGAAAGGTAAATCTCAAAAAGAATATTGCCCATCGGGCCTGACGTGGTTTAAGGCATTTATCAGTCCTTAAGTACTCAAGATTTTTGTGATCAATATATATATTAAAATCGGATGCGTGGCTCCTTCTAGCAGGTATCTCCATTCTTCCAGGGCTACTTTAATTGACAGAAGCTCCCGGTCCCCAACGTTGTAGTTCCTTTCAGCCAAAGAGAGCTTCCATGAGAAAAATGCTACTGGATGCATTAATTCCTTGAGTCCTTTCTGTTGGGAAAGAACTGCCCCAACTGCGTTTTCTGATGCGTCTACCTCTAGGATATAAGGCAGTGTAGAGTCTGGATGGCTTAGAATAGGAGCAGCTGTGAATAGTTTCTTCAGGGTTTCAAAGGTGGCCTGTACTTCAGGGGTCCAGTGGAAACGGACCCCTAGTTTGGTGAGCTGGGTAATGGGTGAAATGAGGGCTGATAAGTTTTTAAATGAATTTTCTGTAAAAGTTAGCGAAGCCTACGAACTGTTGGATTCACTTTTTATCTGAGGCTACTGGCAAGTCCAGGATTGCTGAGACTTTTTGTGGATCCATTTTAATTCCAGCTGTGGAAATCATCCGTCTGAGAAATAGAATACTTTTTTGTTCGAAATTGCATTTCTCGACCTTGGCGTACAGTCTGTGCTGACAAAGTCGTCCCAAGACATTCTTAACATGTCCTTAATGGATCTCCAAGGATGTGGAAAATATTAGGATGTCATCTAGATAGACTATGACAAAGATGTAAAGGTAATCTCTGAAAGTATCATTGATGAAATGCTGGAAGGTAGCAGGTGCGTTGCACAATTCGAACGGCATGACCAAATACTCGAAGTGGCCAAATCTAGTACGAAAAACAGTTCTCCATTCATCCCCTTCCTGCATACGGACTGATACCGAACAGGCTGGTTCGGTATCGGGAGACAATCACAGGAATCGGGGAACACGAGCAGGGTAAGGACCATACGGCAATGGGACAACTACTGCAGCCAGTTTAACCACTAGCCTACAGGGCACTTATACCCCCTTCCTGCCCAGGCCAATTTCCAGCTTTCAGCGCTGTCACACTTTGAATGACAATTGTGCGGTCATGCATCATTGCACCCATATGAAATTTTTATCATTTTTTTGAGACAGATAGAGCTTTCTTTTGGTGGTATTTAATCACCTCTGGCTGGGATTTTTTTTTTTTCTTAAACAAACCAAAAACCCCTGAAATTTTTGAAAAAAAAAGTTTTTTCTTAGTTTTGTTATACAATTTTGTAAATAAGTGATTTTTCTCCTTCACTGATGTGCGCTAATGAGGCTGCAGTGATGGACACTGATAGCTGGCACTGATGGGCACTGATGAGGAGGCACTGGTAGGTTGCACTGATGGGCATTGACAGGCATCACTGATGGGCACTGAAAGGCAGCACTGATACATGACACTGATATATGGCACTGACTGGCGGCACTGATAGGCAGCACTGACTGGCACTGTTAGGCGGCACTGACTGGCACTGTTAGGCGGCACTGACTGGCACTGACTGGCACTGATAGGCGGCACTGACTGGCACTGATAGGCGGCACTGATTGGCAGCACTGATAGGTGGCACTGGCTGGCACTGATGGGTGACATTGAAAGGCAGCTCAGATGGGCACTGATATGTGGCATTGATGTGTACTGGTATGCACTGATATGTGGAATTGATGTGGCACTGATGGGCACTGGCATGTGGCACTCATGAGCACTGACAGGTGGCACTTCTGGGACCACACTGATCATCAGGGCACACTGATCATCAGTGCCCTGATGATCAGTGTACATGTCACCTCCGCGGAAAGCCGATTACCGGCTCTCCTCTCCTCTCGAGCTGTCAGCGTGAGAGCTCGTGGGGAGAGAAATGCCAATAACCGGCATTTCCCTGTTTACATGTGATCAGCTGTGATTGGACACAGCTGATCACATGACCGAGCCGACATCTTCGGCTCTTTCCGTGATCCGCTGTGTCCCTCCGGCGATCGCCACGCTGCACGCTCCCTGAGCTGCGCATGCGCAGTGAGAATGGTAGGATGTCATATGACGTCCTATCAGAATGAGAGAACCACCTTGCACCCATCATTATACTATAGGGCGGGCGGGAAGGCAGTTAAATAGCCCTTTTGGTGCCAGCATTAGTGACAGGCGCTCGCCTGTATGAGCGAGTGCACGCACACGTGTGCGTACCTATGTCCAAGTGCCTGCACATCTGTTTGGCTCGTAAGGACTATTTCTGCGCTGTGGAACTTCACCTGCACTATGGGCAGGCCTTTCCTGACAAAGTGCTAACAGAGATCAGGCCTGATTCTGCGAACACTGCGGTTTTGTGTGCAATGTTTCAAGTGACAGTGACCTACTGCACTTGCTGGGGGAGAAGGGGGAGGGGGGTAAGCATAGGGGCTAATGCAGGTAGTGGCACGTGCCGGGGTTTATCCCGCTAACGCTGCATTTTTGGGGACACTATCAGGGGCGGACTGACAACTCATGGGGCCCCCGGGCAATAGGGGATCATGGGGCCCCTGTGTCCTTGCCCACACCTAAAAAAGCCTATGAAAAAGGTACCAGGGGCATCTCATGGGACCCCCTACTGACCCCGGGCCCTCGGGCAGTGCCTGAGTGCTTGAATGGTCAGTCCGCCCCTGGACACTATACTAATGTGAACGCTAGTATAGTGCTGATCTGCTCAAAGATATTGACCCGTTCAGACACTATACTAGCAATGGAGATTTATTGTGTATGAGGGTCTTCCTGGCAATCGAGGGGTTACATGTGATGACTGGTGTACTGATGGGCAATATGTCCAATACGGTCACCGCAGGCCGATTGGGCAGAGGATTAAACAAACACAGTAGCGTCTCTTCAAAGGCAGGAATTCGTGAATTGCAAGTAAGCACTTAGAAACAGTTTAACACTTTCAGAAAGAAGGATTTATTACTAAAAGAGTCAAACAGGTGCAATAAAATATTTACAAAGAAAATGTAACTATATATATATATATATATATGCATATAAAGGTACAGCGAAGAGATAATAGGAAGGAAATTACAGGGTTAAGTTACTTGCCCATATGCCTTGGTAGCAGATCCAAGTTGCAGAGCAGGATGATTTGTTGATCTCCTTTTGTTACGATGTTCAGCTGAGGAGATCTGTTAAAAACTCTAACTCGCAGGCTTGCTAGCCTGTCTCTTTTTTAAAAATCCCTCTGAAAGGGGGGTTGCTCTGACTACGCTGTTTTGGGAGGAGTCAGTGGGGAACTCTGAATTAGAGCCAACATCTGTCATAATCCATGACATGAAACATCGGGGGGTAAAGCCTGACTTGAGGAATATTCAATTTTCTCTCAAGTCCGGAGAGAAGCTATCTTATTTTGATTATGATGGGGGAGAAAGTTTACACTTTCCCAGACTGCTGGCACCAACTAGGGATGCCTAACCTGTGGTTGACCCCCCCCCCCCCCCATCTGTCAGGAGATAAGTTTGCCTCTCAGGAAGGGAGGGGGTAGGGAGTGCGAGGAATAAGGAATACTTCCATTAAAAGAAAAAGGGGAACTCCGCGTCCAACTCTGATGAGCTAGTTTGCTACACTGGGGCCCTGGATCTTCTATTGGAGATTTCACTCCCAACTGGGAGTACTTATAATACCAAGGGAAAGGGTCAGCTGTACAAAGCCGACTGAACGCTAGCAACAACATTGAATAGTAATAACAGGAACAAATGGCCAGAAGGCCTTACACCACTTCAAATGATCCAAGAGTTTACCCAGTGGCAGTCTTTTCCTCTTCTGTGTTATTGCACAGCACAGTACTTGCAGAAGTTCAGCCCCTGGCAGGCACAACACTATGCTCTACCCACACCAATATAGCCCCTGGCCAGTGCAGTATGGCAGCTCTGTTTACAGCAGCACAGGGAAATTAAAACAGCCTCTAGTAGTCACAGGACAGTAGCACAGGAACAGTACTACAGTCTCTGGTGGACTTAGGAGAGCAACACAAGAACAGCAGCACAGTGCTCATGGCTCCCAGTAGCACAGTCTATATTAGCCTTTATACAGCAGCTCTGCATACTGGTCCTGGCTCCCTGTAGGCTTCGCTCAAATAGTACAGCACCAATAAAAGGAAACTCCAAGCTTGTGGCACTATAATAGCAGTCCTGTAGTCCTCTTTCACCCTGTCCTAGCCTCCATGTGGTTCCCTGCATTCCCTGTACAGTGCAGGGGAGAGTAAACAAAAGAGCAGGGAGGCTGGAATGCCTGGCCTAGTCACTGGGGGATGGGAGCCTGAAAGCCTGTCAGTTAATCTTATTTGGCAAGGTGTGTTCACAGGCAGACAGACAGATGTCATAGGCAGAGGCAGCATGCCTGGATTACAAGTGGAAGGAAGGTTGATGCTTGGGTTACAGAGAGAGGGCCGCCGGGCCCAGACCCAATCACCCTTCCTTGGCACTCGGGTTCCGGAGCTGCTGGCCAGGCCTCCGATAGATGGTGTCTGGATTCAGAAGGTGCCGGCTGACTGGGCCACAGAGACAAAGGGAATGGCACCGTCAGGAATCCAAGGGTCAGCTAGAGTCTGGGCATTCCTAGTGGTCGCGGTCCTCAAGCAGGATACGATGACCAGGCTTTCTGAGAGCCATGGAAAACTGAATGCCAGCCCTGTGGTTGTGCTTACCCCATGCCCAGGAGCCATGAGGTAATGGAGCATCCGGTAGGTGCCTACTGTTTTGCCATCATGGACCTGAGCAAGGAGCATGGGCCACCATCTCTAACCCATCAAGCTCAAGACGAGCCAGCCTTCACTACCCCATGTGGCTTGCCTGATTCCACGGGAAAGCTAGTTGGGGTTGAGAATGCACCGACCACCTCTCCAGCGGTCAGGAATGGCTTGCAGTGCGCAGTGGACCTGGGTGCAGTTGTCCACTTTGTCCACTGTCTGGGAAGAGCCACTTGGGCCCCTGTCACTAGTCTGGAACCAACCGCCGTGCCCAGTCTGACAGTCGAGAAGGGTAACAGTCAGTGGTTCAGTTTAGGAACCCATCAGTAAGAAGAGACCCCCAGAGGTCTGGGCATGGGGAGACTGAGGCAGTTGAGGCCTGGTCTGCTCCCCAGGCCAAAAAGCAGGTTACGTCAGTCGCGGGTACAGCTGGCTACGGTAAGACGCCTGGATGCGATGATCATGGCTTAGCTGGACCTGTGGCTGACCTAGCAGACAGGAAACTAGAGGAACTGGTGTCCTGGATGCTAGCAGGTAACGAGGACTGTCCATCTTGGATGAAGGTACCTGTGGACACCACTGGGAGGCGAGGCCCAGAATTCGCCTATCCGGTTCCGGTGCCCACAGGCGCTACTACCTTCAGGCCAGATGTAATCCTAAGCCTGAGGAAGAAGGTAGGAGAGGGAAATCTCCTTCTGTACCTCAAAAAGAAGCTACATATTAATATGTTAGCAAATGACACCCCTGAGCCGAAGTGTTTTGTGAACAGGTGGGCACCCCGGCAGTTGCCACGGGATTCGGATAGCCACAGCCGACTGGTACCCACCCGTGACCACTCACTTGGTCGGCCCAGTAGTGTTGCTGGGGAGAACGGCATCCTGTTCAGATGGACTCCGGTTCTCCCACAGTGCAGCGGTACAAGGACGACACAAGAGGAACCTCTGGACAGAGGTCGGTTGCGTCAGGAGGGAACTTGTAGTCCCCTCCCTGGCAACCACCTGAGCGGGAGGTGTAGCAAACTAGCTCATCAGAGTTGAACGCGGAGTTCCCCTTTTTCTTTTAATGGAAGTATTCCTTATTCCTCACACTCCCTACCCCCTCCCTTCCTGAGAGGCAAACTTATCTCCTGACAGATGGGGGGGTCAACCACAGGTTAGGCATCCCTAGTTGGTGCCAGCAGTCTGGGAAAGTGTAAACTTTCTCCCCCATCATAATCAAGATAAGATAGCTTCTCTCCGGACTTGAGAGAAAATTGAACATTCCTCAAGTCAGGCTTTCCCCCCGGATGTTTCATGTCATGGATTATGACAGATGTTGGCTCTAATTCAGAGTTCCCCACTGACTCCTCCCAAAACAGCGTAGTCAGAGCAACCCCCCTTTCAGAGGGATTTTTAAAAAAGAGACAGGCTAGCAAGCCTGCGAGTTAGAGTTTTTAACAGATCTCCTCAGCTGAACATCGTAACAAAAGGAGATCAACAAATCATCCTGCTCTGCAACTTGGATCTGCTACCAAGGCATATGGGCAAGTAACTTAACCCTGTAATTTCCTTCCTATTATCTCTATGTTTTGGACAGGCGACTTTTCAATCATTATAGTGTATATTTGATAACGGGAGTTTCCCAGTCTCCGACAAAAGTGGTGGTGGCAGTAGAGGGTTAGTTGCGTAATTAACCCGACCCAGTAACAAGCGCATTCAGGCTGCAGGCACTGATTGTAGTCCATTAGCTGGGCAATCGCTGTGCTGGGTGCAGCTGGGTGTGGCCTTGTTACGCGCCTCACACCGCGGTTTTAGATCGGCCGGTCCTTCAGTCACGAGCTTGGTAAGAAAGGTCTGGGGTCTGACGCCGTGAGCGTGACGTATTACTGTTAGTCGCGGACGTGCGATTGTCGCATCTTGGTGGCAGCGATCATGACACCCAGCACTGGCTAACTGTGCTCAGTGACCACTGGTCAGTGGTTTAGTGTGCACTTCTTTTATCTGTAGTTAGGCCACCCCGAAGTCTGCCCATATCAGCTGCTGTGTAAATCTACAGTAATGCACAGTGGCTAAATGGTTAGCACTTCCGCCTGGCAGTACTAGGGTCGCTGGTTTGAATCCCAACCATGGCACCACCTGCCTGGAGTTTGCATGTTCTTCCTGTGACTGCGTGGGTTTTCTCTGGGTACCCTGGTTTCCTCCCACACTCCAAAGACATGCTGGTAGGTTAACTGGATCCTGTCTAAATTGGCCCTAGTCTGTGTATGA